TCTCTCTCTCTGTCTCTCTCTCTCTGTCTCTCTCTCTGTCTCTCTCTGTCTCTCTCTGTCTCTCTCTCTCTCTGTCTCTCTCTCTCTCTCTCTCTCTCTCTCTCTCTCTCTCTCTCTCCCTCTCTCTCTCTCTCTCTCTCATTCTCCTCCCTTCCTTTTCTTTATTCTATCAGGCTGTGTTTGCATCTATCTTAATGTCTTTGGATTATTTATTACTCGGTCTTTCCGTTTTCTTTCTTCCTTTGTAGTTTTGTCATTGTATTGCATTTTGTCCTTTCCCTTAATTTTCTTCCTCAGTTATTTCTTGCTTCTTTTCCCTTTCCCTCTTCAGTTTCTCCTTCCTATCTCCTGCCTTCCATCTCACCTTCTTTTTTCTTCTCCTTTTTGTACCTTCCCTTTTCCCACTCTCCTTCCAATATTTTGTTTTCCTTCTCTCTCTTTTCCTGTTCTGTTCTTTCTATCCCTTCAGTCCCTCCTGCTCATCCTCCCCTCCTAACCCTTCCTCTCTGCCCAATCTCACTTTGTCCATGCGGATCAAGAAGGTGTCAATGAGGTCTCTGGGGGAGCTGGGGTCGAGGGTTTCACGGTGTTTCTCCACACTGTGGCCAATGAAGGTGTTGATTTCCTGAAGGTTTTTGTAGATTTCCCTGTGTGTGCCAGGGAAGTGCTTCAGGATGTTGGAGAATAATTCAAACACCTTGAGGAAAGAAGGAGCCATGAGGTTCACATAGGCCTCAGGTAATAGTACACTGAAGAAGGGAGATGTCCTGGGCACCAGAACTCTATGGGCAATCTATGCCCCTTCTTTTCCTCTACTGTGAGTCTGCCACTCTCCTCTTTAATAAGCATACATATATGTACACATACACATTAACACACAATTCTTTTGTTTCTCAGAATATATCTCTTTTTTTCAGTCTTTTCACCTTTCTTCTCTTCTACATTTTCCTGGTCTTCCTTTTCTTTATCTCTTACACTGTAATTCTCCATACTCCACATGCTCCTTTGTTTGCTCAGACCCTTAGTTCCCGCTCACCCCCTTTTCCTTCCTTCAGATCTCAGTGTCCCCATCCCTCTGTGCTCTCTGAACCCTTCTCACTAAATTAAGAGTCTTTCTTGAATCCCAAAAATGTAATATCATTACCCCTGGTCTGAGTAGCCCCCCTCATACACATCCTCCAACATTTCCCCTGACCTGACTGGAAAAGGAGCTGATGAGCTTAAAGGACTTAGAGAACAGGTCCAGCATCCGAAGGAACTGAGGATCTTTGTAGTCAAAGCGTTTTCCAAAGACGATGGAGCAGATAATGTTGGCAGTGACAGAATGAAAGAGGAATATGGGGTCCACCAGGCCTCCTAGGGAAAAAGGCAAAACTTCACTGGACACAGATTCAGGGTCCTGGGGAGCATTTGCCGGCTGTCATGTCTCGGTGTGACCACCAAAACTCAGTAATAAAAAGAAAAAATATCAATGAACTCTGACATTCATCAGCAAGTACTATGTGTCAGGCTGTATTCTTAGCTATTCCTAGGTTATTTTAACTTAATTCCCAAAAAATATGGTAGGGAATATGTTGTTCTATTACCATCCTCCATTTTATAGATGGATCAATGATTGATGGATTAATGATTTGACCAAGGTAACCCAGTGATGCACTCCTGGGCCCAGGATTGTGACCAGACAGTGCAAAAACAGACCCATGGGAGGTGTTGCCTGTCCTGAATCTCACCCCTGGTAAGTTAAGAAAGTTAGGTGCTGAGACAGAGGTCATGTAGTTTGGCCAATCAATCCATTGTACAAGTATAAACATTCTGATCAATTTTTCACTTGACTGTCACTGCCTCCTTCATCTCTTTACCTCTCCAGGGCTAGGGTAATGAACAGTATAGCTCTGAGCCCAAAGGCAACAGATAGGTGGAAAATATAATTCAGGCTCTATATAATATTCATGTTCTCTCTCTCTCTCTCTCTCTCTCTCTCTCTCTCTCTCTCTCTCTCTCTCTCTCCCTCTGCTTTCATTCCTCTATAGACCTTTCCCTGACATTTGGCCACTTACTTCAAATTTTCTATCTTGCTTTTGTTCTACCTCTATTATTTTTTTCTGTGAATATCCTCCTCTCTTCTCTCTTTCCTTTCCATTTGCTCCCTCCATGTCTGTCTCTTACTCTTTCCCTGTCTTTGTGCCCATCATTTTTCCTTCTTACTCTCTCTGTTCCTGCTGTTTCTCCCCAGGTTCAGAATCTCCACACTTGACAAAGACCTGATATGCATAAAGAAAAACAATCCCCCTAGGTGCAAAAATGGAGTCCTGCCACCTCTATGTCCTTGGTACTGAGGATTCCCAAGGAACACAAAATGGTCCCCAGGAGTAGGGCACACACCTGCCTCTTTGCTTACTTCCTGCTTGTCTGTATTCAAAGGAAGGAAAATATAGTCCACTATGTTCACATCTGCTTTCACTCCTTTTCTGCTTTCTTTCTTTCACATAATCCAGATGCTATAAAAGCATTTGATGCATACAAGGAACTCACTAATTGATTTCCCTGGACACAAATTAAGACCGGGAAGTCACTCATTTTACTTCTCCAAGCTTTTCTTGCTAAGGGTAAACATCACAGAGGATGTGCTCCTCTGTTGCTTATCTCTGCTCATATCCATTCCATCTCTTTCTGATCCTATCATTGTCTGTCTGTGTTCTACCTTCTCTGTCCATGCCTGTCTCTCAATGTTTTCATTACGATGCACCCTACCTCACCTTCTGTATCCTTAACTCCCTTTCATACACAGCCCCACCCTACAGACTCACCCTGGGATTTCCGCAGCTCCTCCACCATACACTGAGCCTCCTCCTGAATCCGCTCCTCCACACTCCGCTTTCCCATCCCAAAGTCCCTCAGGGTGGCCAAAGAGAATCTCCGAAGGGCTTTCCAGCGTTCCCCATTGGCAAAGATCACCCCTAGTGGTTGTAGCACAGACATGTGTCACAAAGGAAGGTGAACAGGAGGATCCCTCTTCAACTCTTTCCTCCCTTATCACACTCTACTTGCCCAAGTCCCATTCTCCACATGCCCCATCCCTATGTCTTTAAGAACCTCACCGTATCCTTGGAATACAGAGTCCACAACAGCAATTGGTCCTCGGCCTGAGAAATCCTCAGCTTGATCCACAAGGGCTTCCCGTATGGCCTCTGGGCCACACAGTATGACTACAGGCCTTGGCCCTAGGTACACGGTGAACACATCTCCATACTTCTCTCGGAACTGCCAAGCAAACCCATGCCAAAGTTGCTATTAGTCAATATGTGCCCCAGTTGTTAAAACATTGCAATGCTTAAATACACATTGGTAATTAAATGCAGCCAATGGGATCCTCAATGCTTGCCTAGCTGCCTTGCTCTCTTCTCAGGACCCAATGTCTAAAGGGATAAGTTGTGATTCATCCAGGCTCTACTAACAGTGATTCAGGCCCTAAGCAGTACAGATGTTTAGATATTCCTAATCTCATCTTTATCCATAACCTTGGGCTGGAACTGATCTCCCTGGTGTAGCAACTCAAAGAATTCTTGTGCTTTAACATCAATCTGTATTCTGGTTCCCAGTAATTTAAGGGGAGCACATCTCTATTTACCTTCCTTGTACAAGGCAATAGAACAAGAGTCCTCTTGCACTGATTATGAAATTTGAAAAATCCTATCGGTACAGTGCTTTGGGAAACTGGGAAACTGGAATGGCACCTATTGGTGTATTTGTGGAGTGAATCTCTGGGCTCAATTGAACACTAAAATCCTTAGTAATATTTGCACATCACCTATGTTTATCCTTCTGTATACTTCAAATCATCTCGATTGCTTTTATCTAATAAAAAGGAAATGTTATATAGAGAGTGGTACTGTATTATTTAGAGATTAGTGGCAAAAATAGTGTCTACATATACAATACAAGCTCAAGTTTTTCATTCCAAAGCTGAGTATAACTGGGGATGTAGAATCCATGGTAATAAAAGGCCAGTGGTAGTTAATGAATCTAAACATAGGCATGATCAGCAAGATCACCACCATATACTTTGCCACAAAATTGTGTATGGGTTCACAAAAAAAAACAGAATATATATACAAGCTTTTATGGAAAGGGATCATCAGTATATGGAATAAGTAGTAAAAACCTCATACAATGGAATACTGTCAACAATGAAAGCTAGACCACAATCACTATAACCAATAATCCAGATGAAATTCACAAACACAATGTTAAGTGGAAGCCAATAGTCACAGAAACATGTTTCATTTCCATCTTCTTCTATTCGTAAAATTCAAATACAGATGAAACTAACCCATAGGAAGGGTATTAAGAGGTAGAAAGTGTAGGAAGGAAGAGAAGGTTATGTAAAAAGAATTAAACTATATTGTGTTCCAGAACCAACCACCATGATCAATGCAATCATTAGTTTACTGAAAACATGTAGTAAGATAAATAAAATGTTTTAAAAATCAACTCATTCTGTCAAAATAACACCACATTGTCACTTCATCTGCATTTCAATGACAGTGTACCCACTGAGCTTTCCTTTATGGGGGCCAGTATCCATCTTCAGAAATCTTTGGCTTAAAAATCAACAAAATTTACTATTACAATATCTTTCATTGTTCTCTGCAAAAACTTCTCACTAGTTTCCTTCCTTCTATTCCTATAAATAGAGCACAGGAATCACTTATTGGCCTTTTGGCTAAGATCAAGTGCAGTATCTGTTCTTATCAGATAGAGCAAAGGAGGTCCCATTTTCTTTTTGTAATGCCATTTTAAAAAGCCACTTAGAGGACCCCTGCAGACCCAGTCCAGGACCAGCATGTGTGTGAGACCTTCTGTTCTGCTGCTCCCACTGGATCTCATCCAGAGCCAGCCCAGGACAGGTGTCTGTGTGAGACCTTCCACTCCACAGCGCCTACTGGACCTTTCCAGACCCAGCCTAGGCCCACCCTGTGTGTGGGACCATCTGGACACTCATGGGAACCTCCTCTATCAGACAGGCCTGGTGTAAAACTCTGCAGCTAAAGTCCCTGTAGAGAGATTCTAGGGGCCAGAGCCACCCAGATATGCAGGAGCAGAACATCTTGCCAGTGGGGCAAAGCAGGTTCAGTTCCATAGGCTGCAGCAGGAAGAAGCTAAGCACAGCAGCCAGACCCAACCCAAGCACATATGGATGAGTTCAAACTTGGTAGATCTGGACCAGGTAAGGTGAGACACTTTGCTAGACACAGATCTATGAGAATGTCCTCTCTTTCGTTCTTGATCTACAGAGGAAACAGGTAACAGGGTGAACTAGTCTTCCTGGAAGAACCCAGGTACATCAAGGGGAGGTGAACAGACAGAACTTAGGAGAATTAATTTAAATATAAATTCCCAATATCTGCTTAGCTACAGACATACTCTTTGCTCTTATTGTCTAAAGTACAAATCCATTAGTTACAAGTTTGTCAACTGCTAAGTATACCTACCCATTAGTAGTGTTCCTAATTTTACTTCTCTAACTACAAATCTATAATGACCTTCACCCTATAATCTCTCTTGGGCAAAATTTTCAGTAGGTTCTAAGGTTATAAATGCACAAAAGCTCTATACCAAAGGTAAAGGGACAGTGGTATACAAAATGACAAGGAGAAGGAGTGAAATGCATTCTCAGCCCCAAGCCCACCCAGAAAAATGCAGGAGATGCTAGTATAAAAGAAATAGGGAATCACACATATAAAATTTCTGAATTAATAGTGTCTGAAGTAAAGAAGCATCTGCAGAAAATCAATTCAGAAATAAACTGAGAGGCCCAGCAAGTGTGTAGACGATCATCCGCACTGCTCTGTGCCCGCTGAGAACCTACGGATCCAGAGCAAGCCCAGCGTGAGTGAGCCTTCAGCTATGCTCTTGGGACCCTTCTGAAATCCTCCAGAACCAGCCTAGGCCCAGAGTGTGAGTGAGAACTTCCACTGTTTCTCTGGACCAAGCCCAAGCCCAGGCCCAGCGAGTGAGTGGGAGACCTTCCACACTCCCCTTTGCCTGCTGGATACCTCCAGACCCAGCCCAGGACAACTTGTGAGTGAGTCCTTCTTTCCTGCTCTCTGGACCCCTCCAGACCCAGCCCAGGCCTGGCATACAGGCCTGGTGTGAAACCCTGCAGCTGATGTCCCTGCAGGTAGGCTAGGGGCCAGAGCCACCCAGCTAATCCAGGAGCAGAACATCTTGCCAGACAGGCACAACAGGTTCACTTCCAAGGCCTGCAGCAGGAATAAGTTGAGCACAGAAGCCAGACCCAAGCCATGGACAACTAGATGAATTCAAACTTCTTAGATCTGCACCCAGTAAGCTGAGACACTTTGCTAGATCCAGATCTATAAAAGCATCCTCCCTCTTTCTCTCTTGACTGAGAGTGGGAGAACAAGGTAATCAGGGTGAACTAGTCTGCCCGGAAAATACCAAGTACATCAAGGCAAGATGATCAGACAGAACTTGGGAGAACTAATTTAATACAAATTCCCAATTTAATGTCGGCTTAGCTATAAAGATATAATGATTGATCTTACCGTGTAAAATACAAAGTCATTATTTACAAATGTTTGTCAACTGCTAAATAATATTACCTATTATTAGTGTTCCTTTTTTTTTCTTTTGGCAGAAAATGATACTGAACTCAGGCCCTTGCACTTGCCAGGCAAGCACTTGTTCTGCAGAACCATATCCTTGATACATAATGTTCCTTATTGTAGTTATGTAAATAAAAACTATAACAGCCTTAATCATGCAATCTCTCTTGGGAATGAATTTCAGAAGTTGCTAAGGTTATAGCTGCACCAAAGCTCTACACAAAAGTTCAGAGGAAAGAACTATAGAAAATGACAAAAAGAAGGAGCAAACTGCAATCTCAAGCCCTGAACTCACCAAAAATAAATACTGAAGACATTAGCACAGAAGAAAGTATGGCTCACACACTTTCAGAAAGTGGAATTTCTGAATTAAAAGCGTCTGAAGTAAAGAAACAACTGCAGAAAGGTACAGAAGAACGCAGAACAGAAATAACATCTATAATGAAGACAAATCTTGGAATAAATATCTGAAGTAAAGAATCAACAGCAGAAACATATAGAGGAAATCAGATCAGAAATTATCTCTGAAGTAAAAAAAGAAATGATGACTATAATGAAAAACTTAATAACTCCTTCTCAAGAAGACACTGATGAAAAAATAGAACAGATTAAAAATGAGCTGGTGAGATGGCTCAGTGGTCTAAAGCACCAACTTAGAACAAGCATAGCAAAGCACAGGAACCAAGGTTCAATCCCCCAGTACCACATGCCAGCCAGCCCCGCTCCCTGGTGGGCTGAGGTGGCCACACACACACACAAATAAATAAATAAATTTTAAAAAAGTAAAATAAAATAAAAATGATGGAAATATTGAATAAGTAATAAAGGACAGAAATAGATCAAATAAAGGAAAGTCAAAGAGATATACAGGAACTTAAAATCTCAATCACAGGCTTCTAAAACTATTTGAGTGAAAGTGAAGATAGAGTTTCAGATCTCGAAGACACCATCACAGCTAGTGAAATGGTAAGAGAAGATCTCTTAAATACAACTGAATGCAGGAAAAAATAATTCATCACCTGCAAGACGATGCAAAGATGAACACTGTGAGACTAAGAGGCATCAATCACAAAGAAGGAGTCAACATAAATGATATAGAAAGAATATTTGCAAAAGTAATAGCAGAAAATATCCCAAATATGGGGAAACAGTATGACATTCAAGTAACTGAAGCATACTGAACTCCAAATAACATCAACCCAATTAAAAACACACCGAAATATATAAGAGTCAAGATCCCACAAATCCAGCATGAGAACAATATACTGAAAGCTGCTACAGTAAAGAAACAGATTAAATTTAAAGGTAAATCCATCAGAGTAATGGCAGACTTCTCTTCACAAACCATGTAGGCAAGAAAATCATGTAGCAGAATACTTTAAGTCCTCCATGAAAAAAATTCCAGCCCAGACTACCATAACCTGCAAAACTCTCTTTCAAGTTTGATGGACAAGTGAAATACTTCCATGACAAGGAACAAATAAAGAATTTCATGATGACAAAGCCAACCCTACAAAGACTACTAAAATATATTCTAGAGAAAGACCAAAATGATCAGAATTCCATGAATGAGAACAGAAGGAACCAACCAAACAGGGCAAACAATTAAACACAGGACAAAAGGAGTAAACA